CACAATACTGATGATGGATTGCAGCTTCCCCTCCCATTGCTAGACACATGTAGAGTGGGATATTCCCAGTATAGACACTGTAATGAATATGGGCATAGGAAATATAACACCATTCAATATTTTTGTTTCCCCTTCAATCAAAGACAAAAGTGTTTCTTTCCAAACACTGTGTTTTTTTGCTTCTTGTAGAGATATCATGTTTCAAAAATATTTGATTATCCTGTCAAGAATACTAAAATATAAAAAAAAAATTTGCAGAGTGGAAATAGAGTAAAAGTGAAAAAAAGTGGTTTTCCAGCATATAAATTATTTTACTTCAGTAGCAGAGGAGTCATGAATATGAATATGAATAGTGCTGAATTCTAGAAAAACAATTTGTCATTATTAAAATTAGTGCTGTGTCAACACAAAAAACTCACAGCTTGCTTTTTGTGCTGCTGCACAACCAGCTGCATTAAGGGCTCAAGTGTTCTGGGGTTCATTATCAGTGAATGGGGCTCTGAATCATAAGGTACCAGACAAGTCTGTAATCCATAACAGAAGGCTGTTCAAGATGTGAAATATATTAAACACCTGAAACAGAAAGACGTATTTCTGTGGTCAGCCTAGCATAAGGCTGCTTGGTATTAGTAAATGAACACTTGACAGTTTTGCATTTCTTAGCTATGACATTCTATTTACACATTCAGAAACACAACATGCTGACATCTAGATCCAGTTATTAGAGGTTGCTCTTGGAGCAACTGTGCAACAGCATTTTCTGAGTACAATGGAAAAAGATGGAACAGCAAAATCCATTTTTCTGAGAGACATTCATGAAAGAGAGGAGCAGAGAAGAGCAGGAAATATGCTCCCACATTTCTACAAGAACAGGATGCTGCACCATGTATTTCCCAGTGTCTTTGGTTTGCACAAAGTTGAGCTACACTCCTGATTTACTTTGTATGTGTTAATTCTTCCCTTCTTGCAAATGTTATTTAAGAGGTGCAGAAGTGAGGAAAAAAGTTGTTAAAGACAGTGAACAACAAGTTCCTCTCAGAGACGCAGAATCCACACATAAGACTACCTCTGTTCCTGGCCTTTTCCAGCAATGGGGAAGGGCCAAAAGATGAGCAGAAGGAAAGGACCTAAAAGGGAACAATGATGCTATTTAATTATTGAAGGCTGAGTGAGGTAGAGCAAATCTATACATAAGTTTTGTAATTGATTTTTCAACTGCAAGTGTTAGATCAATGAAAAGGCGCAAGTTCAAATATCAACATATATGGGCCAATATTTGATTCCCAGTATCACATATTGGGTCATCTTAGTGACCTTAGTTGGGTTACACTTCAGCTGAAAGTGGGAGCTCTAACAGTCTTTTTTCCAGGAATTTCTGTTCTGGAATGTAGCCATATGGTATTCTCAAGGAGAAGCTGGAAGCTTTGTGCGATTTTCATAATTGTTTCAGTTCACTAGGATAAATGGCAAGGACATAGGTGGCTATGTAGCATAGGCTCCTGGGATCATAGATCAAACAGCCTTGTTTAGTATCAGCTCCTGTACAAACACACACAACTGCAGATTTACCTCAGGCTGGAGGGATTCACACACACAAAGGCAAATATGATTTCTAGTCTTAAAGGAGACCAGCATCCTAGTGGCCTCCAGAGACAGGTAGCTAACCTTTGTCCAAAAATGAGTGCTTTTAGTTAAGACTGTATTGAATTTGGCACTTATAGGAGGAAATAAACCTCTATTCTGCATTAATAGGTACATGGGGCTGTGGATCTGGAGAAAGTGCACTAACTGAGTAGAGAAGGCAGTTTTGGCACACTTCAAGCAGATCCAGCATTGTTTATATTCCAATAATTTTTTAAGCAAGCTTCTTATTTTCCTCTACTAAGATAACCTAGATTTCATTTCATGTATATGTCGCAAGCATGCAAATACAAATATTACATATAGAAAATTCTGTGTATATCTATCTATAATTTCTGGATGTAACTGATTCTAAAAAGCCCTGGAAGAAAGAACTAGATAGTAAAATTGTGTGATGACCCTGTCATTAGTTTACAGACAATCTCATATCACAGAGACCAATTGCCAAAGCTGATGAGATACCCCATCAGAACAAACTACAGCATCACTTGAACACTGCTGTCCTGCAGAGTGTCTGGGCTGGGCCTAGTTGGGGGAACAAACTAACACACAATTGACATTGCTTCCCATAACGTGCTTGCTATAAGCTGTGTAGTGACCACAAAGGGTTTTACTCAGTATATTTCTGCACATTTGTGTAACACAGATTGCTTATGCTAATTTAACCTCAAGAGTAATGCAAAGCACACAGAGCCCTGTCCCCAGCCTCAGGAACCTGATACAATTTATTGCCTCTGTAGGGCACCTTGCACAGAGCGGGATCCTGACTCCCTCTTGAAAGCATTATCCCACCTGGTGAAGTGCTACCTGCCTGTTTTCTTTTTGTCACAGAAAGTATAAAAGCAAAGCTCCTTCTCTTTTATTTGCCTGTTTTTCATAGAGCACTGCAAGAGGGGACAGTCACTGATTTTCAATGGTCTCCTCACTCTTGCCCCTAAGCCTGGTTCTGAAGCCCTTTTGGGCACCCCAAAAGAGCCCAGTAAAGCAGTGCAGCCCAGCACCACCCTCAAGGCATGCCACAGCAGCACTGTGCTAGCTCAGCACATTTCTAGACTATTGCATTTTCTATGGATTGAGGCATTGGCATGAAAACTAACATTTGTGTCTCTCCATGCTGTAAACATGCTGTTAATACCCATCTCCTATTATCTCAACTGATTCGGAGACAGATGGCAAAGAATTGGATGTGGTTTTATCCCATCTATTGTGCACCACATTTGGAGATTTTCACTTAAAAAAAAAAAAAAAATCAATGGAATAAAAGAAGTCAAGAGAGATGTCCCAGATCTTTTGACTCCATAAAGAGTGATCAATTGGAACCTTTGTATTGGGCTGCAGCTTAATGAAACTCTGAAAATAACCTAATATACATCTCCTATAAGTACCTTTTAACATTAAGAAAACCTCATTCTAATTCAAGTGTAAAGAAAGCATAAAGAGCAACTAGATCTACTTTCATACTTTATTTGCTGCAGTAATATTGAATTGCTGCAATAATATTAAATGTCATTGACAGACCCTCTACTACTTATAAAAAACACTTCTGAGACAAGATAATATTCTCTATCAACATTTCCTGTGTTTTACACCATTTTAAAACTGGGTTGCAGGAAGCATTTGTCATATCATGAAGAAGCTGAATTCTAAATTAAAAAGGACATGTTTGTATTGGTATTTTTTGGGGGGTGACGGAGAAGATCAGCAGACTGCAAGCCCAAAGAAAATTCACAGCCTTCCTTCTGTTTCTGGGGTACTACATATGGACCTGCCCAAAGTCTAGGGCAGTTTGAGTGTTCACTCCAGTTAAGTCAAACCCACAGAACACAGATCTTGCACAGTTGACAATCTTTGCTCAACAGAGGCTCAGTACAGAATGAAAGTGAGGAACAAATTACCTTTTGTGGAATAAAGTGGGCACAGGGTAAACACACTGCAGATGGGCCATAAGGGACACTTTGTCCTTCAGCTCCATCCATCTTCACCTTATAGAAGAATTAAAAGCCTTGTCAATAATTTAACAAACTAATGGCCATGATTTTAAACATTGTGGGCTAATGCTCTAAGCACCACATTGGCAGAGCAAGATGGTGAAAGTAGAAAGCATGTGGTTTTGCATTCCATGATTATTTTGAAAGTCAGGACACAGTATTTTTATCAGCAGCCTTTTCTTCTGCCAGAGCAAAACCCTGGGACCGCACACCAGCAAAAGTGTGCAACGACCTGCATTGTGTGTGCAACATTACCACTACGATGTCATTTCTTGATAACAGCGTAATTAAATTGCATTGTCATTGCGCATCCTATCTTAGGCCAATTCACTGAGTAGAAGAGTCAAGTAACAACACTCAGTCTGATAGTATATTCATAAAACTGAAAAATTACCATCTACAGAGAAATTAGGCCTTTGCAACTGCAAAACTGAGTTTAGTCACCCCATGTAAAGAAAATACTGGGAAATATATTCTTCATGTTATTCTTACAAATTGTCTTTATCCCTCTGAAATTATAAGATCTACAAAGCAGTGGCCACATACAGGAGAACCAGAGTAAGGCTGACAAAAAGGCAGCCTTATTGGCTTTAAGGAGAAGACCATGACAGTGATATTTAGCTGAGATACCATCATTCACAAAGGCTTGAAATCTTTACATTTCAGAACTTACCTACTTCCAGCTATGCCAATTTAAACAAATTAGCCAACCTTCATTCATAGGAGACACCGTATTAGTCAGATTTTCAGGTTAATTCCATAAATAGCAGCCCTGAAATTAAGCTTTGCCTACATGTCTGAAGAGCGGCTGTCTCCCTCAGATGTTCTGGAGTGCTGGGAATTCCTAACCGAGGGCTCACATTTGCCAGCGCCTCCCAGACACCTGCCCAGAGACGAGGAACAGCAAAGTAAACTTAAAGCATTCAATGAACAGTTTTTATGTTGTTTGTAAAAAGAACTCAAAACATAATATTGACAAAAATATCTCCAAGAGCGTCTCCTGAATACCACTCCATGGGGAGCTCTTGAGCAATACATCGCTTCAGGTAAGGGATTTTAAAGAGATAGTGCACATATGACAAGTTTGGAGATGTGACCCTCACAGAGAGGACAGGAAGTGCAACTAGTTTAACATTTTTATTGCCTTTTGGTTTGGGGGTGTGGGGTGTTTACAGGGTTTAGCAAACCTCTTGGAGCCCCTGTGCCCACCCTTCCATCCAGATGCTGCTATCTCCTGATACCCTGTAACTGAAAAGTTTCTCTTGCCTCCCAGATCAGCATCTTCATGACCCATTTGTCTAATTATGGGAACGACCGCCTGGGCTTATACACCTTTGTCAACTTGGCCAACTTTGTTAAAAGCTCAACTAACCTGAACCTGCAGACACTGCCCCCCGTTCAGCTGGCTCAGAAGTACTTTGAGCTCTTTCCAGAGCAGACAGACCCTCTCTGGCAGGTAATGTTACAACTTCTTCCTCCTCCAATTACAAGCCATTTGTTGAAATAAGAATCTTTTCCTATTAAAACAATAAAATAATCCCCCTTCACATTCAGGTACGTTATTTCTTCCTGCAGGCTACCTTAGATTATTTAAGTATTCTTGAGACGCCACTGCTTTTGACCAGAAATGGGTTAGCTTCCACTCCCCTTAACTCAGGCATGGTAAAAGCCCCTAATTGCCATTTATATGTGAGAAAGCTTCCCTTCCCATCCTCCCTGTTTGTAGTTCTGCTGATGCATTGCCTTGTGTTCACTAATTGTGTTGCACTACCCATACGATGCTCTCAGCCAGCCAGGTGTAAGAGATGCAGAGTCATTGGATCCCTCAATGGGAAATCACTAACATTGGATCACTGTAGCTACCAGGAGGGTTTCCTACCACCTGAAACCCCTTCAGTGGAACAGCAAGGAAAAGGGAGAGCCGGAGGGGTCAGCAGCAAACACAGAATGGGCAGCTCTGTTTAAGAATGAAGAGGGTTTTTGTATAGACTATATGTTTCAAATGTGATGCTTGTAACCTCCTTCAGCACTGTAATTACCTAATCATTGTTACAGATGTCTGGCTCTTCTCTTACTCAGAATATGATATGCCAAGCTGTGCTTTCAAATATGCAGGTATAAATTCAGAGAGACACCATGGAGATCTGGGCAGTTATTCTGGGCTTATCCTAGCAAAAAGGAGCAGAATTTTTCCCTGTTATTTTTGGTCCAGGTGCAAAAGAAGTCTAAATCTGTATTTCCACTGGCATCAGTGGAGCAGCAGCAATTCAGATCAGTTAATGATTTTCTCCATTGTATTTTGTTAACTTTATTCACTAGCAAAAAGTATCTTCTATTACCAGCCAATACTATGCAAAAACAGTATGCATGTGATAACTGCTTTAAGAAGTAGTCAATCCTAACTATTTCTGTGGCATCCTTTGTTCACACATTTTATTTTGCATTCATAGGTAGTAGGAAGATAAGGAGATTAATAATATCCCACATTTCTATTTTGTTCTTCCTTTTGGGTGTTTATGTAAATTAAAATTGGCACTAAGTTCCATATATCTGAAACCATTTTGTTACGTAAGAAAGTAATGCCTTGAAGCTATTCAGAGGTTTCCATTTTTACCTCAAATGAAAACTTGATTAAATCAATTTTTAATCTTTTTTTCTTATTTTTTTTTCTAATGAGTGAACTTAATAGTCAGTCATGCAAAACCATTACATATGCATTGATTCTTACCCAAAGAGACCACCTAGGTGCCTACAAACTCTGAGTTTATGAAATAAGCCTAGCTAATGGAAAGAAGGAAATGCAGTAGTCTCACAGGGTGTGGATTTTGACACCAATCCTTCCAGATGTGCACAACTGTGTAGCCTTACTGACTTCTCTGGGACCCCTGGAAGGGCTGGTCCTGGAAGATACCTGAGACTTTGGTCCCTGTGTACCTGAATGCTCCCATGGATGAGTACCAGCTCAATATCTGCCACGAGTAAACTCTTACGAGGAAATACGGGGTTTACTACCTAATGTAAGGCTCTGGCATTACTGCCTAACACTTCTCACTTGCAAAGACATGCAAACACATAGGATACCCCAGCATGATGTACACAATTGCATTTTCTTCTTCAGAATCCATGTGATGATAAACGACATAGGGATATTTGGTCAAGAAACAAAACTTGTGACCACCTACCCAAATTTCTGGTGATAGGACCCCAGAAAACAGGTAAGAAGTAATGAATTTGTAACCAAAGCTGGCCACCCAGTTTTGCACCTGTGTATTTGTGTCCTGTAAATTGAAGTCAACTCCCTGCCTTAGAAAGGGTTCACTTCCAATCCCTGTGGGATTCAGACACTAACTCCTCCACTGCCAACAGACAGGGACAACTGTTTGTATAGCAAAATTGCACTCACTTGACATAAAATGTTTCTGTCAGGCTGCCTTGTGCTAGGATTGCTATTAACTTCTTTGACAAATTATTTCAACATTGTTTAAGAACCTAACTGACAACAAATGTGCTTAACACCCTGCAGACCTCTGAGGCTCTCAGGGCATTATTTAAATTAAGCTACCAATTCCTTTTCCAAGATGGTGATTACTGTTGTGGACATACTACACAAAAAGGATGCGGAGGCAGGGAAATAATTGACTAATCCAAGATCATACAGAAATACTGTGACAGTGACAGAGACAGCAGGTTTTAATCCATAGTCCAATGACAGCTTGCATTGCATGAAAACATCGAAGTGCAATTTTAAAGAGACATTCTCCAAATTTTTGTTTACCACCATATAACATTTCCAGGTGTTTTTCTCAAACAAATAACGAATAAGTACTGTTACTGGGATTTGAAAGCATAATTACCACATACAGGCTTAGTAGCATTGAAACAGAATTTTTATTCCTCAGTAGCAGACCCCCAGGACAAATGCACAGAGGGCAAAAAGACAGTTCTGAAAGCAACAAAAACATAGTCCCACAGTTAGTGCTTTGGAGAAGTTTTGTGCAACATGAATAGTTTGAAAACAAAGATGTTCAGGCCGAATTGCCTCAGAGGTTTAAATAGTCAAGGAAGCAATGCCTTCAGCAGCAATATCAGGCTTGTATCACAGAGCAGAATTCAGGGTTTGGAAATGACAAAAGCTCAAAAAGCAGAAGAGTCTGCACATATCGCCCATCCCTCTGAAAGCCCCTTGTGCTTACACAGGCCTTTCATCAACAGGCAACTTCCTTATAAAAAGTAATCTAATTCTCCTGTATATCTCAGCATGCATTGATTTAAAGTACTTTATTGAATGAATAAAGTCAAAGGTGGGGATTTTTTTACTATTTCCTAATGGCATCTCTTTTTGTTGTTGTAGGAACAACAGCCCTTTATTTATTTCTTCTGATGCATCCTTCCATTATCAGCAATCTTCCTACTCCAAAAACTTTTGAAGAAGTTCAGTTCTTCAATGGAAACAACTATCACAAGGGAATTGACTGGTAAGAAGAATAACAAAAAAGAAGCATTCATTATTAGTACATGGTAAACCATAATGGAACAATTACAGGAGCATGTATGACATCAACACAATTACTGGATGAATTTGTTATGCTTGACATTATCAAACAAAAAGAAACTAATTTGTAATGATGGGACATTTAATCAAGTCTTTAATTTTGTTTAGATATCACAGTCACAATTTTCTTATTTTTTCATCAATGAACACAATGGACAGTTATGATGACTCTCTTCATGCTGAGTAACAACTCTTGTCTTTTCATAACTGTTTCTATACTGAATTATACTCTCTTTTTCCAAAAGTGGCTTTTCATGAAGTAACATTTGATTTGTGTCTTCTTGAGAAAAAAACAAATGTAGAGCATTTCAGCTGGTATTCCTATCACACTTTAAAATATTGCTTTTACTATTTATTTCTAAGAAAAGCATTTGTGTAAGGCTTTTTTTTCCACAGGGAACAGCAGTTCTCATCCTTGTGTGAAAGCCTAAATGTAAGATATATATCACACTCCACATTTTAACCTGGAGTAGTTTCCTTGCTGGCGTACAGCATGGAGAGTGTGTGGAGTGAACAGGCCTGACTGATATAAGCAGGCTGTGCCCAGTCACAGCACCAGCTGCTCAGGTCAAGGTGGCACAAACAGTAAAGGGAAAGAGAAATAAATGCTTGGTGTTTGTTGTTCCGTGCTACATAAAGAGGAAGTTCACCATGGCCATCCTACATTACATGTATAATACACGTGGTGAAGGAGTGGTGAGGGGGCAGCAGGGTGTCTCTCTTCTGCAGCCCCGTGTAACACGTAGAGGAAGAGGCCAGCCTTGGCCAGCCTCTTGGAGACTCCTTCTGCCAGGCGTCACCAAAACTGGCCTGCAGGTTCCAAAGTCAGTGGGGTCCCGGGCAGAGAGTGAGCCCTGCCTACTTTATTTCTATTGAAAGGACAAAAAACAGTGAGTCCCACCAAAACTGGAAGCCCCAGGGTGCTCAGTAAAATCAAAGGGACCCGAAAATACCTCCAGAGAAATTTCACCTTTTGTTTCATTTGATTTTTTCACCCTTTCAGTTGAACCTTCTTTTCCACTTTTAATTCTAATCAGTTTTAAGTGGAAAATACTATTCAAAGCCAAAATTCAAATTTTACATTCTGAAAATGTCTAAAAGGAAATATTTGCTGGCTCCAAAATGAAGTATTTTAACAATGTTAAAATTAAATGGTTGACATTTTGAAGCTTTTCCCATTTTCTTCTGCAGCTAAAACCAAATTCATTCCAAACTGATGAACTTCTTAGCAAAATCCCATCCACCAAAGGAAAAACCTAATTACCTGACTTCATGGAAGCTTTAACTATTACCAATACCATGTAAGAGCCAAGATGTCTTCCCCCTATTCCAGTTCTGGAATGAGCTGAGAAACTCAACTTTGTTTCTTGAGCATTACGTCTGAAAACCCACCTTTTCACCTACAAGGAAATGGGAAGCAGAGATATGACCCATTTTTCATTTTCGCTAATTCTAATGAGTTCCTTCATCTCCCAGGTATATGGATTTCTTCCCCACTCCTTCCAACACTACCACTGACCTTGTCTTCGAGAAAAGTGCCAACTATTTCCACTCTGAGGATGCTCCTAAGCGAGCTGCTTCCCTCATCCCCAAAGCCAAGATCATCACCATCCTCATTGACCCATCTGATCGGGCATATTCCTGGTACCAGGTATGCACCTTGCCTTTGAGAAATCAGCGGCAGGGGATGACGGCCAACATTTGTGGGAATTTGAGCAACCCCTTGAGCAAGAATTAGAGTTACCTAATTTGAACTCTGTAGAAGTGGAAGGATGCTGAGTGCCAGCTTTTGCAGTTGGCATCTGTGACACCAGTGTCATAAATGATGAAACTTCTCAGCACAGAGCTGCCACCAGCTGTAAACAAACAGTTTAATCTCAATTACAACTGACACTGCATCGAGGAAAAGCAGTGTGCCTCGCCCAGGGGAATACACGAGAGAAACAAGCATAGCCTAGCTAGAAAATCAGAGCTCTTCTCTTGATGCTGAGAATCTGGTACATCATCGCATCCTCCAGCATGTAAGTGAAGCTACATGGGGTGGTGTACATATGAATGCAGTGTCTCCTAAAGTTTCCATGGAGTTAAAAAGGTCTGTGCCTGGAGAACTGAGGTGGTTTTTTTTCCTCTCCTTGGAAAAAAAAGAAAGCCTGTTGTTTTTCTGAGGAAATTCTAGGAAGCACTTTATCTTTTACCAAGTGTCCTGGGTTCAGCTGTGTTTTTGACTTTCAGCCTGGGAACAAAAACCAGCAATGTTTTTAATTGTTGCTGCTCAGTAATGTTTATTCTGACTAAGGACTTTCTCAGTGTCATGCTCTGCCAGGGAGGAGGGGAAGTCAGAAGGAAGCAGAGACAGGACACCTGATCCAAACTAGCCAAAGGGTATTCCATACCACAGCACATCATGCCCAGTATATAAACTGGAGGCAGTTACCTGGAAGGGCTAAATCGCTGCTTGGGTTGGGCTGGGTATCGGTCAGCGGGTGGTGAGTGATTGTATTCTCTTCCCTTGTTATTTCTCTTATCATTATCATTATTGGTGGTAGCAGTAGCGATTTGTGTTATACCTTGGTTACTAAACTGTTCTTATCTCAACTCGTGGGAGTTACATTCTTTTGATTCTCCTCCCCATCCCTCTAGGAGGAGGGAGAGGAAAGAAGTGGGGGAGTGAGTGATCAGCTACACGGTTCTAAGTTACCGGCTGGGCTTAAACCACAACACCAAGCCTATGTCTTTGCATAAGAAAGTCTACTCTACTTAAAAAACATATTTGTAAAATATGGTGTAATCATACAGATAAAGGGCATATTGAAAGCAGAGTTAAAACAGACATGGATTGCTAATGTTGCAATCAGCAACAGAGAAGAACAGAGAACAACTCAGAAGGGCAGAGAAGAGATTCAGAGCAGCCCTGCGGAGAAGGACTTAGGGGTGCTAGTCGATGAGAAAATGAACATGAGCTTGCTTCAGTGTGCGCTTGCAGCCAAGAAAGCCAACCGTATCCTGGGCTGCATCAAAAGGAGTGTGACCAGCAGGTCGAAGGAGATCATCCTGCCCCTCTACTCTGCTCTCGTCAGGCCTCACTTGGAGTATTGTGTGCAGTTCTGGTGTCCTCAACATAAAAAGGACATGGATCTGTTGGAACAAGTCCAGAGGAGGGCCACGAGAATGGTCAGGGGACTGAAGCACCTCCCATATGAAGATAGGCTGAGAAAGTTGGGACTGTTCAGCCTGGAGAAGAGAAGGCTGCGTGGAGACCTCAAAGCAGCCTTCCAGTATCTGAAGGGGGCATATAGGGATGCTGGGGAGGGAATCTTCATTAGGGACTGTAGTGATAGAACAAGGGGCAATGGGTTCAAACTTAAACAGGGAAAGTTTACATTGGATATAAGGAGGAAATTCTTTCCTGTTAGGGTGGTGAGGCACTGAAATAGGTTGTCCAAGGAGTTTGTGAATGCTCCATCCCTGGCAGTGCTCAAGGCCAGGTTGGACGAGGCCTTGGGTGATACGGTTTAGAGCGAGGTGTCCCTATCCATGGCAGGGGGGTTGGAAGTGGATGATCTTAAGGTCCTTTCCAACCCTAACTATTCTATGATTCTACGATTCTATAAAATACACCATTTCTGATACTGGTGTTACGATTTCTGCAAGGAATAAAACATGGCCTAGGGCTGCAGTCTGCACCATTTTTAATAGCTCACTTGCACCTTTACAATTGTCAATGTGAGAGATGCAAAGCAGTAAAAAATTGTGTATATTTTGACAAAATTTGGCTTTTCAACTCCCCTCCCGCTGTGCCAGCACAGCCCTCCCAACAGATCTTGGGAGGCTTATGGCTTCATCGTTAGCATCTTTGTGATACCTGCCTAATATCTCCCATTAGCACCAGCGATCCCATGAGGACCCTGCTGCCTTGAAATTCAATTTTTATGAAGTCATTACATCCAGCCAGTGGGCGTCCTCAGAGATAAGGACCCTCCAGAAGAGATGCCTGACACCCGGCTGGTATGCTGTCCACATTGAACGATGGTTAACTCATTACCCTGCTTCACAGGTAATTTTCAACCTGTTGTTTAGCCAAGCTCATCAAAGTCCCAAAAAATGAGCACGACCTCATCAGTAGAGGAGCTGGGATATTTCCCACTGCGACTCTGAGCTGACAGGAAATGCAGTTCTAACACGACCAAGCTATTTGGCAGAAGTGTGTTGATTTTTCTGTTTTCTGGTGGAAAAGATGCAACGGGAAAATGTTATGAACTGTGGCCACATGGGCCTGTTGGGGGACTTTGGGGATTCCTTCCAGCATCAGCCAAGGTTGACAAGGCTTCTAGGTCCCAAGAAACAAGCAGATGCAGCGTGAGACCTTGTGGGAAGTTTTGACAAATTCATTTAGAAAATGGCAGGGCTTTAGAAATTTCATTCCACTTCCCACTCACTCCCTTTCATAAAAAATTCCCCATTTGTTATATCCTGATCTGGAATTAGTCTTTCTCAGTGTTAGAGCAGCAATACCTTCTTTTGCTTCCATCTTCCTTCAGATGTCTTACTGAACTGTCTTTCATAATCTTTCCCATGAAAAAAATATATGTAAACACATAGACCTAAAGAATATTCCCATTACTAAAAATACTGTTTACAGATATAAACCTAAAGCAAAATTTTAGTACTACAAAATATACACATGGGCACTCTTGACCCATGGATGTTGTCCATAGCTCAGTTCATAAGTCTACCTACTGTAAGAAGAAGTAAAAGGGTGCTTAGTGAGCAAGTATAATGAACAAGTATCTCCAGAGATTACCATATGTGGGACAGAATTTTGCTGAAAGGAGGTGGAACTGAGTGTTGCCTGTTTAGACATGGACCTGAAAATCCAGAAAGAAAATAGAAGCTTTGTCTTTTTGCAATCCTCCCTTTTCCTATTATACAGTCTCAGCTGTACTACAAAGAGGAGAAGCAGGCCAATCCCATTTCCAGGAGAAAGTACTTTCTTCTTTCATCCCTGGCCTTTCTACTCCTTCATAACAGGGAAGCAGTACTGTCAAGGCAGTATGGCCCTAGGAGCAAACAGGGTATGTCTCCTCATCTCCAGCACAGATCAACTTCTTCCTTTGAAGGAGAAGGGGCAGTTCTGATGAACTTGGAGCATGAAAAGGATGCCAAACATCCCACGCCCTGTTACCTGTGCTCCTTCTTTGCCCTCATCCTGCTTCTGTCCCTCTCATGAAGATTTCTCTCCTTCTCTTCCAATGAAGAGTGACTGCAGCCCTCTTATTAAACATTCAGGGGCACACTGACATCTTCCTTGTAACACTGGTAACCACTCATGTTTCATGGTTACAGTGATTAATTTTACAAGATGCACAACAAAATGCACTCATTCTCAATGAGATGCACAGAGAGAGAGAGCACTCATAGTGCTTACTAACGGGCCTCAGTAATGTGCATTCTCTTGGCATTTGCACTCAAAACCTTAATAATTCACAATAAGCCTTCAAAATAAATATAAACTACATCTGCCTGAAATAGTTATTAGTAATACTGCTTGGTACTCCATGACACTTTTGATACACTGTCTGAATATTTGCTTGCGGAAGTCAATGTACCTTTATGCCACACTCCTCTTTAATTAAAAACAAAACAAAAAAAAAAAGAAACTTTGCTAACAATTTTGCAAACCTGCATGGCTGAGAGGCTCGTGGCGAGTTTTAAATAAATTGCCACAATATCACTTTTGAACATGAAATTGAGTAGCTTCTGAACATTTTATTCTAAGATAAAGATATACATGAGCTTTCTGCTACTTACCTTCCATGACAGATTTCCTAAAGACACAATATAAATCTCAATCATAATTTTACATTCCTTCTTTATCTCTTTTTATCAGAATTTTCTGAGAGTCAACATTGGCTTGTGAGATTTAACTGTTGCATTTGAACAATGTGCACACAGAGTTATAAAGTGCTCACCTACACAAATTCAACAGAATGAAGTATATCTAAAAGGAAGCTCATCTGTAATAAAACTGTACAGAGTCACATGCTAATTTAATCCCATGATATTAGCCTCAGTCTTGGTTCTAAATAACTAGCATTTTTACCCCTACAGTTGCTTATTATTGATGGACAACAGCTAAGAAGTGACCCAGCTACTGTGATGGATGAAGTGCAGAAGTTTCTTGGAGTCTCTCCTCATTATAATTACTCTGAAGCTCTAACGTGAGTGTGTTCCTTTACTCTCTGCCTTATGGGATCATGCTGTACATCCCCACTTGATCATTAATTGCAATTAACAAATAAAAAAATCCATAACAACACTAATTTTGCAAAGCTTGAGGTTGTCTGTGTAACACCCCTCCAGTTTTTCCTTAACTTGCACATATATAACACATTACAGAATTGATGACTGCATACATTCCCACATGCAAACTCTACTTTGCACAACATCCAGAACAAATACCTACACAACCTGCTGTATCAGATGCAGGACGAACATACAGATTTACGTAAAAGCACATCTGCTAAGTTTGAGTGCCTGACCTGAGGCACCCAGTGCTTGTTTGCTATGGGTATCTGTTTTGCTTTCATCACTGGATCATTTAAAATGTACATTCTGCTGCAGTGAGCTGTGCACGTAAGAACTCAGCACACATTTGCACATCAGACTGTTGAACGTTATGCTAGTCTTCAGAACCTGAAGACCACCTAGGGTCAGGTGTGAAAAATTTGGCTTAAAGGTTGTTACCATATTCTTGTTGGAGTCTAGTGACAGACACTGGGTTAGAATTGCCCAGTATGAGAAGATTTGTCTGGTCATATAGTTTCTTGACAATTTCCTTTTAACATGGACTAAATATAT